TAAATAATATTCTATTATCTGGATACACCACAGTTTATCCATTCCTCTACCGAAAGACATCTTGGTTGCTTCCAAGTTCTGGCAATTATGACGAAAGCTGCTATGAACATCTGTGTGTGGGATTTTGATGTGGACACAAGTTTTCAATTCCTTTGAATAAATACCAAGGAGCATAATTGCTCAATAATATGGTAAGTGTAGATTTAGTTTTACAAGAAACCTCCAAACTGTCTCCCAACAGAACGTGGCTGTACCATTTTGCATTCCCACCAAACAATGTGGAGTTCCCATTGCTCCACATCCTTGCCAGCATCTGGTCTTGCCAAGTGTTCTAGATCTTGGTTATTCTAATAGGTGTGTAGTAGTAGTACAGTTGTTTTCATTTGCATTTTCCTGATGACATAATATGTGAAGCATCTTTTCATGTGCTTATTTGCCATCTGTATGTCTTCTTTGGTGAGGTGTCTGTTCAGGTCTTTGGCCCATTTTTAAATCAGGTTTTTTTTTTCTTGTTGCATGTTAATATCAAGAGATATCCCTGTCTGCAGAGCAGAGGTTTTTAATTTTAATGAAGTCCAGCTTACCCATTATTTCTGTCATGGGTTGTATCTTTGTTGTTGTATCTAAAAAGGCATGACCAAAAAAAAAAAAATAATAAAAGGCATGACCATACCTAGGGTCATCTAGGTTTTCTCCATCATGGTGTTATCTCCCTGAAGTTTTATAGTTTCCCATTTTACACTTAGGTCTCTGATCCATTTTTTTTCTCTGATCCATTTTAAGTTCATTTTTGTGAAGGATGTAAGGTCTGTGTCTAGATGCATTTGTTTGTGTGTGGATGCTCAGTTGTTTCGGCACCATACGTTGAAGACACCATCTTTTTCTCCTTTGTATTGCCTTAGCTCCTTTGTCAAAGATCAGTTCCTCTATTTATGAGGGTCTATTTCTGGGTCTATATCTGACTGTGGTTTTACAGCATAAAAGAAATGCAGAATTATAGCCTCACTGCTCAGCATCCAATAGCTTCCATCATCCATTGTCTTGGGACAACTATTTAATAGAGTCAAACCCGGAAGTGGGCACTGACTCACCTTTCACATCTGCATGATTCTATAAATTCCAGTGAAGTTTTAACCAAAGCTTGGTTAGCTTCTTCAGCAGCTAATTAGGCATAAGAGAACCTCCAGGCAAAAACTAGTCATTGTCCAGGAAGAAAAAAAGAGAAGAATTTCTCCTGCTATTTTTCAAATTCTCATACTTAAATTTTTAGTTGACTCAAGACTGGTGGGCCCGGCTGTGGACAGTAAGGACTTTTGGTGTGACTCAGAGAATGAGCTTAGTTCCAGGACTCAAATTAGGAATCCTGTTCCAAACCCCAGGTTTTAGGCTCTGCTCCTCCTCTCTGTTCACTCTGCATGTACCTGTTATAACTTATATACTGCATTTGCTGATTCTTCTGCTTCTCCTTCTAGACTGTGGGGAGCTCCTTATAGTTGCAGTTCTTTTTCTCTGTATCCCCATGATTAACATTGTGCCTAGTACTGGGACACCTGGGCGGCTCAGTCGGTCAAGTGTCTGACTTCCACTCAGGTCATGATAACAGGGTCCTGGGTTGGAGCCCAGAGGCAAGCTCCCTGCTCAGCAGGGAGTCTGCTTCTCCCTCTCCCTCTACCCCTCCCCCACTTGTTCTCTCTCTCTCTCTCTCTCTCTCTCTCTCTCATAAATAAATAAAATCTTAAAAAAACACTGTGCCTAATATAATAGGTAAATAAGAGTTTTGGAAATTAAGTTCTTTTTTTTAAAACCTCTGAACAACTTCTAGTGCCCTTCACTGAGGTTAGGAGGTGTGAATACTGAATAATACAGTACACATCTGCAGGGGATTCTAGTCAAGTGCAGGCAGCTTATCCTGGTGGTTGAGAGCATGACCTCTAGAGCCATATTGCCCAGGTTCATACTCAATTCTGCCTCCTACTAATCATGTCACCTTAAGCAATTTCCTTGACTGATCTGTGTCTTGGTTTCTCACCTGTAAAATGGAGATAATGATAGCAACCGTCTCATAGACCTGTGAGAATTCAATGAGTTGAGAATATATGTAAAGCGCTTGGAACAATGCCTGGCACATTAATAAGCATTGTCTGTTATTGTGATTATGATCACAATTATTGTCGTTATAATTCTAATAAATTAGTGGGGAGCTTCCTTTCCTCTGCTCTCCCTTACAGCCCAGAACTTCTTTGAGTGATGCCACTGTTGACAAATACCTGTCTGGTAGAACAAGGGTTATGGCCAAAGACCTATAAATCATTAAATTTAATCCCAGGCTTGAACGTGGAATATCGATCATCCGAGGATGTAAAGGCCCAATAAAGACTCCATTGGAAGAGCTAGTACTTTTCCTTATCCCTTCAGTCTTTAGACCCTTGAAGCCTTTTAGTACTCTGTTCTTGCCTAGAAAATAGTGGCTGCAAGAAGGTAATTCTAAATTCAGATACTAGAAGAAGAAGAAAAAAAATACTGCAACAATTATAAGCACATGGGAAAAGCTGAAATTTGCATCCTATCCGTTTAGTGAAATGGATCCTTCCCCGTTCTCTTTCTTTAGGCTCTCATTACCTCTTATCTGGTCTGTTCCAATCCACTTGAAGCAGGTTGTCTTCTCTAGTTCATCTTATAACTTCAGTTGAGCGCATAGCAGGGATTCTCAACTTTGGTTACATATTAGAATCACCCGGGGAGCTTTATTTTTATTTCTTCAAATATTTATTTATTTATTCATGAGAGACACAGAGAGAGAGAGGCGGAGACACAGGCAGAGGGAGAAGCAAGCTCCCTGTGGGGAGCCCAATGTGGGACTTGATCCCAGGACCCCGGGATCATGCCCTGAGCCAAAGGCAGATGCTCAACCACTGAGCCACTCAGGCGCCACACCTGGGGAGCTTTAAAAAAAAAAACATACCCACACAGATTCTGACTTACTTTGGGCTGTGGCCTGGGCCCTGCGATTTTTAAAAGCACCTCAAATAATTTTATTGTGCCATCAAGGTTGAGACCAATGCCTAAATGTGCGTACAAATCACTGTGAACCTTATTGACATGCAGTTCTGATTCAGTAGGTCTGGGGTTAGGGTCTGAGATTCTGTGTTTCTTTCTTTCTTTCGTTCTTTCTTCCTTCCTTCCTTCCTTCCTTCCTTCCTTCCTTCCTTTCTTTCTTTTTTAAAAGATTTTATTTATTTATTCATGAGAGACACGTAGAAAGAAGCAGAGACACAGGCAGAGGGAGAAGCAGGCTCCCTGTGGGGAGCCTGATGTGGGAGTGGATCCTGGACCCTGGGATCCCACCCTGAGCAGAAGGCAGGTGGCTGGCAACAGAATCATTTAAAGTCCACTAACATCAGTGATTCTTAAATGTGACTGCTATCTGAATGACCTGTGGGTATGTTTTAAAAGATACATATTCTAGGCCCTACACTAAGCCTATTAAATCATACTTTTCAAGGTACAGCCTACAGTGGTATTTGGGAAACACTTCCTACGAGGTATAGAAGGTCAACAAGGCTTAGGAATCCCAATATACTTCTAATACATTTTCCAGGCTCATTTCCCATCGATCCAGCCAGCAAACATCTATTGCACCTGCCTACCAGGTATTAGAAAAACAAAGATGAAAACAGTTTGATCCATGGGGCCCCTGGGAGGCTCAGTGTTTGAGCATCTGCCTTTGGCTCAGGTTGTGATCCTGGGGTTCTGGGATAGAGTCCCGCATTGGGCTCCCTGCAGGGAGCCTGCTTCTCCTTCTGCCTGTGTCTCTGCCTCTCTGAGTCTCTCCTAAATAAATAAATAAATTCTTTAAAAAAGAGAGAGAGTTTGATCCTTACTCATGAGAGATTGGCACGAATAATGCCAAAACTAGATTATTATTCTGATATTATTAATACTTGCCAGCCATGGTGTGAATGCTCACATCTCTACTTAACAACTTCTCTTTTTAAGACTGTGGGGCCCCTTGGCATCCAAATAAACCAATCCAGATGCCCTCTTTGCCACATTTAAGCCTCCATATCTGTTTGGTCATCTCTTCCAACTTATTTTCTTTGGTATTAAAATAGACCTCAAAGAGGAGAAAAGATTTACTCCAAGTGTCACCATCACCCAAGGATCAATATTTTTTTTTAAAGATTTTATTTATTTATTCATGACACACACACACACACACACACACACACACTCACAGAGAGAGAGAGAGAGAGAGGCAGAGACACAGGTAGAGGAGAAGCAGGCTCCATGCAGGGAGCCTGATGTGGGACTGGATCCTGGGACTACATGATCACACCCTGGGCTGAAGGTAGGCACTAAACCGCTAAGCTACCCAGGGATCTCCAGGCCCAAAATTTATATGATGTCTTCCTTGGGCTCGCCACCGTTCCAAGCGCTTTGCACAGGTCAAGCGTGTCAAAGTCTCACACTAGCCTTCTAAGAGATAGCTCTTATTACCATCCCCGGTTTCTGTTTGAGAAAACGGAGACGCAGAAAAGCTAAGTAACTTGCCCCAAGACACACAGAGTGCCCAAGCCGGGTTTATTTTGACGCCTTATATCCATCCTACCGCCAGGTTGGTGACAAGGCTGTAAGGAAGAGGAATTCACTTGGAATTCCCAGGCCTAAGCACTTTGCTGGCAAGTTAGTGATCTGTGCGCTTGTTGCACGAGTGAGACTCAGAGCGTGCGGGGGGCGACTCGGTCTTGGCCTCTCCCCGGCGGCGCCCAGTAGGGATGCAGGCGCTCGGTCACCGGATGGGCTGTCCCATTGTTGGGGGGGGGAGGGGGATTAGTCAAAGGAGCAAACAAACAGGCGGACAGGGGCAGCGGCGGGCGGGCCTCACGTGACCACGAGGTGACCCTGCGCGCTCCGGCCCCCCGCGGCCCCCCAGCCCCGAGCGCGGGAGGGGACCCTCCGGCTCCCTCCAGGGACGTCCCTCGGGCCCAGCTCGGGTTCTGCGCTCCGTCCTCCCGGCCGCAAGGTGCCCCCAGACCCCCGGCTCCTCTTCCGCCGCCGCCGGAGCCTCGTCCTCCATCCCTCCCTCCTCCATCCCTCCCCGTCCCCGCCGCTTCCTGCTCCGGGGATCGGCGCTCTCGGCTCCGGGGCCCAGGCGCCCGAGGCTGCCCGGAGCTCGGCCAGGTAACACGTCCCCCCCCCCCCCCCGGGCCTGGGCGCCGAGGAGCGGGCTGCGGGCTGCGGGGGGGCTCGCGGGGATGCCCTCCGGCCGGGGGCGCGGGCTGCGCGCGGAGCAGGTGCACGGCCTCGGTCCGGGGGCCCCCGCCCCGCGCTCCTCCTCCCGAGTCCGGCCCTGCGACCCGAGCGGCCGGGACCGATCCGCCGCCTCCATACCCTTCCGTCCTTTCACCGAGAGCAAAAAAAAAAAAAAAAAAAGCCAACCCGAAATCCAGAGATGGAGTGACTTTCCCAAGGTCACAGACTCCTATCTGCCCCCTACAAACGTCTATTCTTTTATTTAAGTGTTTGTAAATAGACTACTGTTTCCTCTGTTCTGTTAGGGAATTAGGATTCAGGGAAGAGGACTCTAAAAATACTAATCAGCAGATCCAAATGAGCTGATCCGCATTACTGGCCGGTGACCCTGGCATTTAGAAGGAAATAAGCGAGGACGGTTCTTTTCACTCTGGGTACTTTGTATTTCTGGCCCTTGCTCTGAAAACTGGCCTAGATGTTTTACAAAATTTATCTCAGAACTCCTTGTCAGAACTGGGCCGGATTAGAGTTTTCAATCCTCTTTTCTTCTCTTTTTCCTTTTTTTTTTTTTTTAAACGGAGGCTCAAGAGGTGAAAGTGATTTGCCCACACTCTTAGGCCTAGTTAGAGGCACAGACGAATTTGGAACTCAGGACTCTGGTGGACACCTACTGTTTTCTTGAATAGAATCCTGATTTCAGATGAACTCTGTACAGAACTTGACCTTCATAAAGCTCTCTCTGGATAGCATTCTCGGGAGTGGTTTGTGTATTGAAGTGTGTTGGTCCACGGATACTATTTCACTTGTCAGAATAGGGTTAAGCAATAAGGGTAGCCATGCAGAAAATTCCTGCTGAGATGAGACAGATATCTAAAATGTTTTTGACTTTTTTGTTTGTACTTTCAATAGAAGAGCTAACGAGTATTCATAATAACATCCTGGTTATTTTAAGATCTTAGTCCTGTATGGCTAAATTGACTGTTACATCATTCTTGGCTTGATATATTTGTCATCAGTAAAAATTTCAAAGTGTAGCTTTCTGACTTTGTTTTATGTTTTTTTTTTTTAATATTTTATTTACTTATCCATGAGAGACACACAGGGAGAGAGACACAGAGACAGAGGCACAGGCAGAGGGAGAAACAGGCTCCATGCAAGGAGCCCGACATGGGACTTGATCACAGGTCTCCAGGATCAGGCCCTGGGCCCAAGGTGGCACTAAACCACTGAGCCACCCACGCTGCCCTGTTTTATGTTTAACTGAAGAACCACCTTAAGGATATTGTATATCTCATCAAAAATTTCCCACTTATACTTCTAAATCCTTCTGCTTCCTCCTGGGTCAGTCTTTGAGTTGGATTTCAAAACTGAACAGAACTAGGATTTTTTTTTCTCCTTCTGAAATTCCTAGACTTAGTTTAGTTCGCTATTCTGGTTTACCTCAAGTTTCGATTTTAATAGATAAACCCATGACCCAAATCCAACTTCAGTTGAGTTTAGTATCAGCTTCAAACCACATGAAACTGCTTTGCGTCATATGACCTCTAGCAGAAACCACAGGTGGCGGTACTGTTTTTTTCACGAGAGCTTCTTGTTGGGATTTTTGAAGCCTGAACCCATTATCTAATACATGTATTATATTACTCATGTTCATCATCCAAGGTCAGTGATCACTGGTGGGCTGTTATTGACATTTACTCATCATAACAACACATTATATCAGGCAGCCTACCAACTCAGAATATAGTTCCTGGTTTTCAGTTTACAGCTCTTACCAGTTATCTCTAAGGAACATGGAACCATAACCACAGCCACCCTTTAATAGAAGATCTTGGCTGTGTAGGTAATGAGAAGTGTTTCAGTGTAGGCAATGTTTTTGGACTATTCTAGAGTAGAAATGAAGATTATACGCAAATTGACTCAATGCTGTTTTCTTAGGGTACATACTTTGTTTTTCTGGTTTTGGTCTTTTCACATAGGATGGCATTAGCTCTGTGTCCGCAGGTGCTGTGCAGCTTGGGGGGCTGGCTCTCACTCTACATTTCTTTCTGCCGCCTGAATAAGCACCGAAGCTATGAGTGGAGCTGCCGGCTGGTAACATTCACCCATGGAATCCTCTCCATAGGCCTCTCAGCTTATATTGGCTTCATTGATGGCCCTTGGCCTTTTACCCACCCAGGTAGGTAGGAGACATTAGATGATTTTCTCTAAGGGATCTATAATTTGGGGGGTAGTCTTGGAAGGATGGGACATTTTCACAGAATTTGTACAATATTGAAGAATATTGAAGAATTATGAATTGCAATTTGTGTCAGGATTCTTTATTTTTAACTCTGATATTGTATATGTCCCTATTTCTGCTTTTTGTAACTCTCTACTTTTAAAACAAATTTTAGATGCTTGTTACATTGTATATAATCCACTGAAATATACAAAACATAAAGCCAATATTAACATCTTCCACCACTACCTCCAAACAGAAAGGAATGGACTGTATTACATATGCTTTTTGATAACCTGCAATTTTCACTTGATTGTATATTCAAAGGACATCTATGTATATAGATTTTTTTTTATCCTTAACCGTCATGTAATATTGTGTTGTATGGATATATCATCATTTATTTGACCAATGTCTCATTATTTGGGGCACCTATATTGATTTTTAAGCTGCTAGATGTACAAGTATTACCTCCTTAGAATAAAAAAGGTTGTATCCCCTTGAATTAGTTTGCTGGGGCTACCATAACAAAAAGCACAGGCCAGGGAACATAAACAACAGAAACTTATGTTTTCATAATTCTGCAGGCTAGAAGTCCAAGATCAAGTTGTTGGCTGGTTTGGTTTCTTCTAAGGCTCCACTCTTTTGCTTGCCGGTGGCTTCTTTCTTGCCATGTCCTCACGTGGTCTTCCCTTTTAATGTGTCTGTGTCCTGATGTCCTTATTTTATAAGGACAGCAGCCGTATTGGATTAGAGCCCATCCTAACAACCTCATTTTAACTGAATTACCTCTTTAAAGGCCTTTTCTCCAAATATAGTCACATTCTGAGGAATTTTGGAGTTAGGGCTTTGACATAAGAATTTAGGGGGTACAATTCAGGCCAGAAGTCCCCTAGGAGGGACACCTGGGTGGCTCAGTGGTTGAGTGTCTGCCTTTGGCTCAGGGCGTGATCCCGGACTTCCTGGATCAAGTCCCATATCGGGCTCCTTGCATGGAGCCTGCTTCTTCTGTCTCTGCCTCTCTGTGTGCTTCTCTCTCTGCCTCTCTCTGTGTCTCTTATGAATAAATAAACAAAATCTTAAAAAAAAAAAGGCTCCCCTAGGATATGATTTTTTTTGTTAATTCCTTAGATTCGGGATCCCTGGGTGGCACAGCAGTTTGGCGCCTGCCTTTGGCCCAGGGCGTGATCCTGGAGACCCGGGATTGAATCCCACATCCGGCTCCCGGTGCATGGAGCCTGCTTCTCCCTCTGCCTGTGTCTCTGCCTCTCTCTCTCTCTCTCTGTGTGACTATCATAAAAAAAAAAAAAAAAAGAATTATAAAAAAAAATAATTCCTTAGATTCTTTTTTTTTTTTTTTTTTAATTTCCTTAAAATCCTATGTGGAACTTCTGAGGTTTTCCTAAAACTATCAAACTGATGTGAAAGCAGCTATTAAGCTTTATGTCTTATATGAAGTTTTTAAATAGACTTGAATATGTCATGTCCTTATACTTGATTTTCTTGGGATTGGGAACACACTAATTTCTAGGGTTCTTTCTTTCCAGGGTCCACTTTCAAGAAGGGTGTGGTCACCAGTGTCCCAACAATCTAACCCATTAAGCTAAGAAAAAAAAAATTAAGATTTTATTTATATATTCATGAGAGACACACAGAGAGAAGCAGAGACATAGGCAGAGGGAGAAGCAGGCTCCCTATGGGGAGCCTGATGTGAGACTTGATCCCAGGACCCCGGGATCATGACCTGAACCAAAGGCAGATGCTCAACCACTTAGCCACCCACCCAATCTCTGAGAAACTGGGATTTTAATTGAAAGGACAAAATAGCTTAATGCTATGCTGCTCCATAGAGAGGACACTGAAATTGTGGCTGGCGCTCAGGCCACACATTGAGATCAGATTCATCAAAACAGCATTTCCCAGGCCTGTGACATTACTGGGTTTGATCAAGACCAAGGTTTTAGATTTTACTCTTTCATTCAAAGTCACTGGCCTGCCTTTGTTTTTGCTCTCAGTGGCTCAGGAACGCTTGGGAGATGTTGGAGCACTGTGCAAGGTAGCTCCATTCCCAGTGGCTCAGTTGGCTTCTGTCTTGGTTTATTTCAGGCTCGCCCAATACTCCTCTCCAAGTGCACGTTCTCTGTCTCACCTTGGGCTACTTCATCTTCGACTTGGGCTGGTGCATCTACTTCCAGTCTGAGGGGGCCCTGATGCTGGCTCACCACACACTGAGCATCCTGGGCATCATCATGGCCCTGGTGCTTGGTGAGTCAGGCACAGAGGTCAATGCAGTCCTGTTTGGAAGTGAGATTACCAACCCCTTGCTACAGATGCGCTGGTTTCTCCGTGAAACAGGCCACTACCACAGTTTCACTGGAGACGTAGTGGACTTCCTCTTTGTGGCCCTGTTTACTGGAGTGAGGATTGGAGTAGGAGCTCGCCTCCTTTTCTGTGAAATGGTCTCACCCAAGCCCAAGTGGTTTGTGAAGTTTGGAGGAGTAGCAATGTACGCCGTGTCTTGGTGTTTCATGTTTAGCATCTGGCGCTTTGCGTGGAGGAAAAGCATCAAGAAGTACCATGCCTGGAGAAGCAGGTGCAGTGAGGAGCGGCAGCTGAAGCACAACGGCCATCTCAAGACGCACTAGCCAAGCCTTTCTCCAGGTGATGCATTGGGTTTAGTCGGCCACGGGAACCGGTTGGAGACACGGCTATTAAAGAATCATGCTCACAACCAACTTAGCTTTCAAGAAAGGGCTAAACTCTTCAGTCAGCCTGGTCAGTTTTCGAGTGAAGCCCATGCCAGTATTAAAACACTAACGTCTACTGTGGCCCAGTTGTAGAAAGTGAGAATACTCGATGGTAGTTGGAGTAAATCAGGGCCGTGAGATGAGCAATTGCTGCATTCCTTTTAGCTTCTGGTGTCCCTGGGTCCTTTTGTCTCTGGGATGCCTGATGGCTAGATAGCTCAGGAAGGAATCTGAGAATTCCTTTGAGAATTTCTCCGAGAATTGACTTCTTGAACAAACCCTTATTCCTATTTTCCATGTAGCAATTTAAGTAAAGTCACCCCCTTTACTGTAAAGGGAGGGATTTTGGGGAAGATGCACATCTGGCATTCTGAGCTTTGGATCAGGGGACTGGATGTGCTTAAAGAAAGGGAAAGAGTTGTGAGAAAGATGGTGGTGAAACTGGCTGTGGTGGTAGGTCACTTCTTGAGCCCCTCTATACCAACTGTTGAGGGTCCTCAAGACACACCCCCAGGTTTGGTGCTTTGCTACGGGGACTCACATGACCCAGAATGTTGTCAAACTCCTGGCTATGATTAGTTACAGTGTACAAAGAGAGCAGCCAAGGGAAAAGGTGCCTGGGGAAGAGTCCAAGGGAAACCAGGCCCAAGCTTCCAGAGTCCTCTCCCACTGGGATCACCCAGGGTGTGCTTCATTGCTCTAGCAACAATTTGTGGCCATATGTGAGAAATGTCCAACGAGGAAGCTCATTAGATGCTCAGTGCCCAAGTTTTTTATTGGGGGCTGTAGGCAGCCATTGCCTGGCATGTAGCAAAATTCCTGACTCCCAGAAGGAACATACATGTTCATCATGAACCATTTTGTTTGCACAAACAATTTAAGCATGGTGACCATTATCAGCAATTCGTGGAGGGAGAGCTCCTGAAATCTACATTCCCAGATGCCTGCCCTTGGCCAACCTTGCAAGTTGGCCTTTCCAAGGACAGGAGTTCAGTCCTGCCCTGTTAACTCTTTTCTGTGCAAAAAGCAGAGAGCTAGAGCTTTGGATGAGAGATGAATGAGGTGTAGGCAGATTTACCGAGTCCTGCTGTACGGGTTCTGCTCTACCGGGAAAACTATGCCAATTCTCAGGGCTTTTGTGCATTAATCTCCCAGGCATGAGAGGCTGTGAGTGAATTCCATAGGGATTTACCATGTGGATTCCACTGTGCTTGAGATGACAGTTCAAGTTTCAACTCTGCTACACATACTGCAAACCAGAACCAAAGACTGAGGTGTGCTGGCCGCAGGGTGATGAGGCTAATTAAAAAAAAAAAAAAATCATATACATTCCCTTTAGCCCTCTTTACTACCTTTTCTTTTCTCTGAAAAAGGTGCCACTGTCTATAAAACATTATGACAAGGCTGGTCTTGGAAGGAAACAAAATATTTCTTAGTGCAATAGCCTCGAATCTCACCCAGGAAAAGGGACAATGTAAGTTTAGAACGAGAGGTTAGGAATCAAGACTTTCTGGGTTCCTTTAACTAATTTGGCTACTCACCTGCCAGATCATTTGAGCAGGTCACTGGTGTACCCTTTGTCTCAGTTTAAACTCTGTTGTGAATGAATGAAATACCCTGCTGTGTATTTCACAGCAACACTGTGGCATTTTATTAAGGGTTGTCTTTAATGTAGGATGTCTATGGGGGGTGGGAAATGAACTATTATTTATTTATTTATTTTATTTATTTGCTGTTTATTTATTTATTTGATTATGGATTATGTTATTTAGACCACTGGGGAGCGATCAACTCAGTGAGCAAATGTGTGGGGCTACTGAAGCCTAAGCCTGGGTCAGTAGGAAATCTCTATCCATTCTGTGGTCCCTGGTCATACCTAATGAGTGGTCCATGTGCAAAATGGATGTCACTGGCCAGGCATGACGTAGCGTTGGAACCGCATAAAGTCATCGTGGGTCTAGGAAAAGCAGTTTCCAAGGAATGTTAACAGTGGGTCTTTTAAAATGACTGTCAGCTGATTACTGAGTTTTGCTGCACATGGAAATAATCTGACAGTAGCGTCTCCGTTCTCTTTTCTTCTGTGATCAGTATCCCCAGAATGCTGGTGAGCTTCTTTCCAGCAAAACTGTGGTCAACGTTGGATGCTGGGGAATGCTGATTTTAGCAAAAGCCTAGTAAAAAAGAGTGGCTTGGCGCAGGAGCTTAAAAAAAGAAAAAGCTGGCTCTTGAATTTTGGCACAGTGCAACCTGTTCCATACCAGACAAATGAATAGGCTTAATCTGGTACCAATTTTTTTTTTCTTTTTACTCCTCAGAAGTGAAGGGATTGCAGATCTTGCTGTTTGAGGGGTACTCTCAAGGGAAATGTATGTAGGTTTCTTTTTGATTTTTGATTAGCCTAAATAATAAGAAAAGAAAAATTGTTCATTTTGGCTTTTCCTGATGTTTTACCTAATAACTATGAAGGAATCTCCCTGAGAGAAAAATGGGACATGAAGGTGAGTCAGCAGTTAAGATGGGAGTTTTAATCTTAGGTAAATGAAGGGCTAATTAATATGTGCTGTGGTCGGACAAAATGAAGTATTTTATTCATTCGCCTTTGGATTACTATGTAATAATTCCTAACACTGCTCAAGAAAGATTTATATTTCAGTGAGATTTGTACTAAATTTTATAAAAATAAACAATTTTTTTATCAACCCAGAGTCTGCCTTTGTATCTTTATTGTGGGTTTGCCAAGCAATTAGGAATAAAAGTCTTTTGGCTTGTAGAAGTGTTGACCCAAATTAATACTTATCTGTGAAATACCTCTTATCTGCTCTTACCATCAACCATCCCTAATACTGTTTACTTTTTTGGGCAACAATCTACATACAGAAAAAGTTTGCCAAAGAGATAGGAAGAACTAAATTTCTTTAATTTACCACCTATTTGGGCAGCTGCCTTGAAGATTTAAAAAAAAAAATTTTTTTAAAGATTTTATTTATTCATGAGAGACACACAGAGAGAGAGAAAAAGGCAGAGACACAGGCAGAGGGAGAAGCAGGCTCCCCACAGGGAGCCCGATGTGGGACTCAATCCTAGGACTCCGGGATCATGCCCTGAGCTGAAGGCAGATGCTCAACCACAGAGCCACCCAGGCATCCCGAAGATTGATTGATTGATTGATTATTTTGAGCAGTGTTAGAGGCAGAGGGAGAAGGAGGACCCCAAGCAGATTTCCTGCTGAGCATGGAACCTGACGATGGGGCTCAATCCCACAACCCTGAGATCATGACCTGAGCTGAAACCAAGAATTGGATGCTTAACCAACTGACAGGAACCCCTGGGCATTGCCTTGAAAATGATGTTGAATGGGTTCCATGAAGACAAGCGCCCTACGCTCTCTTCAGAACTGCGGTTAGAATGCCTAGAACAGTGTTAAGACATGCAGTAGGTCCTCAGTAAATGTTGAAAGAGTGGATGAGGATGTGGTTTAGAGTCACCACCCTGCCCCCACCCTCCAGGGGGGGAACCTCAAAGAGCATGTGCCGTGAATTGTGTCCCCAGTCTCATTTTTTTTGTAGGTAAGGAAGGAACTAATGACCATGGGGACTGTGTTCTACCTAGACTGGTATGATTCTTCTCAAGGTACTCCATAGATAGAGCTTTTAGAGCAGTCTAGAGCTACCAACAGCTCTAAAGAGGCTTTCAGGGATGTTTTTACCATTAGAGCTTTGTGGGTGAACATAGAGATTTTCATCATTGAAAAAAATAGTTCTGGAATGAATAACCACTGGCTTAATTAAATCCTTTGCTTACCATCTTCTGAAGCTTTCCCACAGCAAATGCCTCCTTTGCTCACAGCTAGAACTTTGGGTCTGTTTAAGTTTGGAAAGATCTTGAAAGCAGCCTGCCAAGAGGTTTTGTATGCAAGGAAGAGAAGGTGAATTAGGAAACTTTCCCAGTTTGTTTTATTCCTGAAGCTCAAGTAGTGAGACATTCTTGAAGGGAAGAGGAGAATTCATTTTTTTTTTAAACGCATGATTCGATGAGTCATTGGGTCCAAATAATTTCATACCTACCCTGTAAATTATTAGAATTTGGCAAAAACATATTTAGCATGTTTAAGAAAGGTGTAAGTCTGGGGGTGAAGTCTGCATTTTGGTTATTTTATATGGATGGAAGGAGCTCTCTTTCCAGTTAATAGGCAAAAAACCCCCCACACAATTTAATTACATGAGTTCTCAGGGTAGAATTATGCTAGGGTACACCAGCAGGTGGCAATGTATCCTGGTCTGATCCTTAGGAAAGTGGCTTGGAACCTTAATCTGCTGCTATTCTTTCCCAAAATAAACATTACAAAATTAGCTGGCTGTGCCTTGAACTTAAAAAAAAAAAAAAATCAAGCAATAAAGAGTCATCTTTGGCCTCTGTTTATCTTTTCCTTTTTTTTTTTTTCACCCCAACCTAACGTCAGCCTTAGCTCATGCATCTATTCAGGGATAATGATCTTTTCATGGACTGTTGCGGGTTGACTTTTTAGAAACAGCATGAAGAGGTAACTGTTTTCCTCTCCGCATCCCCTCTTTATTAAATTTGCTTTACCACTTGATGGCCACAGCGAGGCTGAGGACCCTCACCCACCCGTACAGGTCTGACTCCTGAAGCCCGAAAACAGGTAAAGGGACAGCCAGAGTGGACGTTGGCAGGCAGAACTGAACTATACTGTATGTGGTACTTAAATTGCTACACTATGGCATTATGCAATCATAAAACTACATGGATATCTAAATGTACCCGGGAGGAAAAAAAAAGAAAAAAGAAAAAAAAAGATAGGAGAACCCTTCAGAGACAACTGCAGCGCTTTCTACTGGATAAATACACTTCATTTGCTGCGGCACCATCTCTGTCCTCCGCAAGCTTGTGAAGTCGCTTTGGAAAAAGCATCATGCTTTCTCCATCTGGCAAATCATACATTTCTTAAAAAGATTTATCTATTTATTTATTGACAGGGAAAGGCAGAGAAACCTAGGCAGAGGGAGAAGCAGGCTCCCCGCCAGGGCCCCCAGGATCACGACCTGAGCCACGCAGGTGCCCCAAATCATACGCTTCATTTTTGCCAAGGTAGAAGCAGCCTCAAAGTAATGTTAGACCAAGAAATCCTGGGTCCAATTCCCAAACTCCCCCCCGCCCGCCCCCCAAGCCCTACACGCCTCCGTCCTCTAACTTCCCCTGGCAGCCAGCGCTTGTGCGCGGCGGCCCCAGACCTGGGACGAGGCCAGCAGGTGCCCCAGGTGAGCATCCGAGGCCAAACCCTCTCCCTGCAGGTCCAGGTGCCCGACAGCGTCCTTCGCTTCCAGCCGTCACCGATCTTTACGAGCTATCAGAGAATCACGACAAGTACAGTGCATTAAGGAATAAAGGTTTGCAGGGTAAGGGGGGCGGGTAGTGCCCGAGGAGCCTCCCGTCCGGGCCCCCTGGGGGCCGGGGGCCGGGGGCCGGGGCGAGCGCTCTCCGGCGGCGTCTCCGGGGGCAGCCAGACTCCGGCGCGCAGCTCCCCCGGGGGCCGGGGCCGACGAGGGGCGGTGGTGGGTGGGCCTCCGCGCCCGGCCGGTCCCCGCCTCCCTCCGCCCCGCAGAACTACTTTTCCGGCGGAGGCGTCCGCGCGGCCCTGGCGCGCTCCGCAAGGCGCAAGGCGCAAGGCGCGGGGGAGACGAGGGCGGCGGGCGGCGGGCGGCGGGGCGGCCCCGCGCGCCGCGGAGGGATCCCGGGTGAGGCGGCTTCCCGAAGTCAGAGGGGAGGAGGCCAAAAAAAAAAAAAAAAAAAAAAAAAAAAAAAAAAGTCGGCGGCGGGGGAGGGGAAGAGCTTGCTCGCGCTGGACGCGGCCGGGGCCGGGAAAGACAGAACCGGAACCGGAACCCGCGCGCGCGCCCGCGGCCGTCGTGCGCCCCCCTCCGCCCCCCCCCGCGGCCTCCTCCGCCCGCCGCGCGCGCTCCCGCGAGAGCTCCGCGACCCCGCGACCCGGCCCCGCGCTCCGAGTGGCCGCCGCCGCCGCCGCCGCCGCCGCCGCCGCCGCTCCCGAGGCCGGACCGGACGGGAACCTCCCGCCCCTCGCGGGAACGGCCGCCTACCGGCGCGTCGGGGAGGAGCCGCCGCCGCCGCCGCCCGCCGCCCGCCGCCCGCGCCGACTGCGGAAGAGTCCGGGCCTCCCGGGGATGGGGAGCAGCCCGCGGCGCTGAGACACCGGCTTCCCGGCACCTCCGGCCGCGGGAGCCCTGCCCCCGGAGCCCCAGGCGGCGAGGACGACGGCAGCGGCCCCCGGGCCGGGGGCATGGAGCGGCGCGAGCCCGGCGCAGGGCGGCCCGAGCCGCGGCCGGCGCGGTGGCCACGAGCGGCGGGCAGCCCCAGATAGACCGCCCGCCCGCCTGCGCCGCCCGCCCCGGGCTCGCGGACGGAGCCCGCCCCCCGCAGGGCCCGCGCCGGGTCCGGGGACGCCGCCCGCTCCCGCTGCGCCCCGACCCGCTCCCCTCTCCCCTCTCCCCGACCCCTTCCCGCCGGACGTCCTAGATGACTGCATGGAGTCTTGAGCCGGACTTCGGCGTCCCCTGCGGAGTCGGGCCTGGTCGCAGAGCAGCGGGGGTGGGGTGGCGGGGTTCCGTACCATGCAAGTTGGATAGAAGGAGGACCTCTCGCCAAGGGCCCCAATGAGCGGCACACAGCCCACTATCACCGACAGGTGGGTACGCAGCGCCCGGCCGGCCCGGCGAGCCCGCGGCCCCCGGCCGCCCCCGCCCCCGCCCCCGCCCGCCCCGCCCGCCCTGCCCGGCGCCGCTGACAGGCAGAGCAGGGACGCTCGCTCTGGGAGCTCCGCAGCTAGTCTGCGGCTGCTGCCAACTTACCCACTCGATCGAGTTTGGAAATGTAGCTGCTGCTGCTTTTTTTTTTTTTTTTTTTTTTTTGGAGAGAAACTTTTCTCCAGATTTGTCCGCGGATGGGGTAGGTACGAGCCACGGTCGCGGCGTTCTCCGGGGCGTGCGTGCACCGGGATCCGGCGCTTCTCTTGGAACCCAGAGGAAGGTCATTTGGGGTGAAGGTCAGCGCCCGACCTCGGCCGGGGGTATTGGTGCATCACCTATCGGTCTTCCTCCTGCCCCCCGCCGTGGTCCCCCCAGACGCCGTGTTTAGGTTTTAGGAATTGCCGTCTGTGGACTTCGTCCTGAGACGGCTGCAGGATGATTTTTGAGCTTGCTCTTCTTTGAATATTGAGCTGCGTAGTGTTTATTATCTAATCATTTTCCAGAATGTTGAAATTACTAGTAGATCTCAGGCTCCTGATGGAGCTAAAAAATAAATAAATAAAAAAAAGGTGGGGGGGGCGCGAGGGAGAGTCATGGGGTTTGATTTTAATTGTTACATTTTTCGTATTTCATCTCCCAGAAGCTTTTGCATTCAAGAGATACAAACCCTAAGCGAATTAGGTAGTTAGAAGCATGGCAGGTGGATGTGTTGAGTTCTGTGAGTCCTTTCTGCTGCTTATCTGTGTTGCCTGGTGGTTGGTGAATTGAGCTCAGGCTATGTGGTTTTAAGTGGAGCTTCTTTACTCTTAAGGGTTATTCTTTGGAATATTGGTTTAAACAGTGAATTCCTTTTACTGTATTTTATGTCTCAATTTCAT